AAAATGGGTCTGGGACTTTCCTCTTGAAATCAGTCCATTGGTTCCTACAGTTCATCCAAATTCTACTCAAAGGAATCACTAATCCAGTAAAGTTTATTTCTAAGAGGAGCGATCTGGTTTCTTGCCCTGAAAATACCAAGATTAATTTATGCAACTACTGGGAAGTACCTTGGGTAATTGAGGCTTCCAAGTCGACACGATATACTTCATTAGACAAGTATGTACTGGGGCATTGTAAACATTGTGGGTAATGTTCTATGTATCCAAGAGATTTATTATTTCATTTATAAAGGAAGCACAATTGGGAATCCAAAATTCCAGAGCCATTAAACCTTGTAAATTACAGAACTGGAGAAAGATAAGGATGGAAGGTACTGTATGCTGAAGTGGTTCAGTGGGTTTCCCCAGTGTTCAACCTAAGCCATTCTGGCTGTTCAGATCCACTTTCACAAAATACTCCCTCTTCTTTTGGGAAACTTCTACCAACCAACCAAATGGCCAACCATTACTTCCAACTTACTCTTATCCTTGGATTACATTCTTGACCAAGCTGTACTCAGACTACCAACACCCATATCAAGAATGCAAATAATCTTGACATTTATTTAATCATGTACTTCAGTTAACCTGCAAATAGATTCCTACCTGAGATTAAAAAGGAAAGTACAGAAGGGTTGGGCATGGGCTTTAGATACTTCTGACAATAAGAATGTGAATCATCAGTTCAACTCGTTGCGCTTGGAAGTATTAATCTGATTTACCGCTCTGCCAGTACAATCAGTCCAGGGCAAGACATGAATGGCCAAAGCTTCATCATAGGTGAGGCTCATGAGAAAATCAGCCCTGATCATTCAAATAACAGTACAATGAGAGGTTAACAATAGGTATTACTGGTTCAAACTATGCCTTGGCCTTTACCTACCGATGTGACCTGCACACATGACTTACCATTTCTAACTTCAATATCTCTGCTTGGGCACAAAATACAATGATCATAATGCTATAACCCGTGTAAGGTACTTGAAATGTGCCATATAGCAATCACTCAATAATGATTATAGGGAGGAAACATTTTAAATCAGCTCTTACAGTCCCATCAGCCATGCAGTCACACCCTTTTCTCACCACTTCTTGGGGCCTCACACACTGTACCAGGTATCAGGCTATGTAAGAGACCACAAATTTGGCAACTGTACATCTGTCTCGCAAACTCGCTAGAATCTGGCAGCAAAGACAGAATGTAAGGAAATAATTTTAAAATGGGACCATAGAGTCTAGGCATTCTAACAGAGTTCAGTCAGACTCTCATAGGGTATGTAAAATTGCTTCTTCATCTGAGAGAAATATGGTGGCATGGGGGGTGGGGGGCTAGTGATATCAATACCCAGTCGGATTTTTGGAATTGGGGAGTGTGGACATCACAAGAGAAGGGAGTGAGTAAAGCTTACTGAGGAGACAGCAAGGACAGGCTATGGGTCCCCTTGTGAGAAGGGCCTCAGCACATGACGCGGATTCCAGGGGGATGAGGAATTTGGTGAACAGTATTCATTCATTTGCTCAACAAATAATTCTCTAAAGGAGCACCACTCACAGTGGGCCTTCAGTTCTGGGAACCAGGAGGCAGGTCTGCACTCATAACACAGCAGACGGCTGAAGAGGGGAACAGACAGAGGAGAATCACTGAGCTCATAGCTCCACGGTGCACAGGGACACCTGCCTGTGCGTGCCCTGTGAATGCTGCTCACAGGAGGGGAGGTGCAGGTAAGAGCTGGAGGACAGGTCTAAGGAAGTATAGATGTGGACAGGGGCTAAAGCGCCTGCAAGCCCAGAAGATCTGTGCGACAGAAAGCAGTTCTTGGTACCCAAGCCAGTGATCCTCATCTGAATATTCTGAGGAATTTTTGAACTATTTTTACATCCGAATTCCACTTTGGAGACTTCGATTCATCAATTCTGGGATGCAGGTAACAGCAAGATAAATAGTAACGTTAGCTAATATGCTTTAGTTCCCAATCTATGGCTAGCATTGTACTACATGTTGTAGCTGTGTTAATATATTTAATCCTCCCTATCCTCCCGTGAAGTAGGCAGTCTTATTAGGCACATCTCATTAAAGATGAGAAATTGAAACAGAGAAGTTAAGTGGATTAACTGGGATCAATGAGAAGAGGAATAAGAGGTGGGGGGAGGCGGAAAGGAAGGGAGAAAAAGATAATAAAAAAATGGGTTGAGAGCAAAAAGGGAGAGAGAGAGATTTTGCAAATGGGAAGGGGGCGAAGAGATAGAGCAGACAGGGAGAAGCAGGACAAAAACAGAATTAAGATGTGTTATGTGCACGGACCAGTTTCCCACAATCAACACAGTCATTAAGTACTCCAAACACGGAGTAAGAAAACTAAAAAAGTGTTTTAAAAAGCCAGCAAGTGATGGAAGTCAGGTTGGAGCCCTGGTTCCAGAGTCAGAGTCCTCCATCACTCTGCCATGCCTCCACTCAGAAGATTCTGGGGCACTGGAGCCTCCAGAGCAGATGTAAGTACGTGCTGGCAAGTGGAGAGGAAGGAGGCAGGTAGACACACTCACCTCACATCAAGAACAGCCTTGGTTTTGTGCTGGAGAGTTGGGACGCACAGGCCTTCCATAGTCAAGAACAATGTAAAGCCATTCAGCCCAGGCATGTGATGATGTCGCCAACCAAGTTCAGAGGCCTAGGTGTGTGATGCGGGAAAATGCTTATTTAACTCACTCACTCATGTATTTAGAGTATATATTCCACAGCTACTCTGTGCTAGGTTTTGTGAATAAAGGGAGAATTAACGCATAGCCTTTGCTTTTGATGGAAAAAGGTATTTGTGGCAAAGACCTCCTATGGCAAAAGTTGGCACAAAATGCTATGCGAGTGTGAACAAGGAAAGCACACTTGCCCATGGGGAGTCCACAAAGACACCCCAAAGGTGGAAGAATTGGAGCAAGGAAGACTCGGGAGAACAGGGCACACCGGGCTGGAGCGGGACCTAGTGGAGTGCTAGAATCTGGGGCCTAGGCCTCAGTGACAGGATGCAGCTGGGAGGAACAGTCAATGAGCAGGTGAGGAGAGCTCCTGCTTGAAAGCTGGGCTCCAAAGAGGAAGAAGAAAAGCAAGTTGTGGTCAATAAAAAGAAGCCTGAACCCTGAAAGCAGAGCAGAAACAGTGTCAGAGTTGGGAATGAACTTTGACGCTCCTCCTGCCCTCAGTGCAAGATGCTTTTCATGCTGTTCTAACTGCTGTCACTGCCTCGCTAGCCTTTAGGCCAAGTGTGAAATAATCACAGGTTCCCTTCCATTTGTTAGTGGAAACAATGAGAAACAGAGACGTTGGGAAATGTAACCAGAGGAAAAGCCAAAACAGGAATACTCTCTCTCTCCTTGCCAGACCACCTTCACCCACACACTTGCACACAGCCCTGCTGCTCTAAGAAGGCAGAGGAACCGTGTGGAACCTGTTTCTCTGTGAACCTTTCAGAACCTGAAGAGTGGAACACAGGCTGGAAGAACCCGGCACTGTGCCGCTGTATCGCTGGGTGCATTTGGAGAAGTCACTTCTCCTGCCTCGGGTTGTTTTCTTTCTGTAGAAGGATACACTTTGACTAATAGTTTGCAAACAATTTCAACAACATACAAACATTTTAAAAAACAATCCACAGAGAGCACTGACCCCTAAGACATAAGACCTACTCAAGCTGAACGTGCTCTGATGGGCAAATTGAGTGCTAGGAGGCAGAGTTTTCCCACCTTAAGAAAACAATTGAAAATGTTAAGACCTTTCCACACTGGCTTAGGGAAAGGTCGCGAGGGCTGTCACTGCACCTCCGGGCTGCTGAGGAGAGCAGCTGTGTTCAGGAGCAAGCCCTCTCCTGGAATGAGTCATAGGCTTGCCTGCAGGAGCTAACAGGCTAACAGCCACGGTTTACCAATCTGCTCAGCGGGCTGCCAGGGCTTGAGGGCAGGAATCAGCCCAGGCTGCTGTCGCTGCGAGCTGCTTGACTAGGGGCGCTGCGGAGGAAACTAGCAGCCAGCGTGACCCACAGGAACACAAGCTAACAGGCTCTCGAGCAGGACTTTCAGGTAGCAAAGGAGAAGAGTTCACAGGAGACCCAGAGCCAGAAGGGTAAGAGGGGGTCCCTGGCCAAACTGGGGGGCACACAGAGCCCCCACTCTCTTGTTTAAACTGCAGAGAATATTTGGAGTGTTTCAAGGGCCCTGGGAAAGCGAAAGAGAGACCGCAGCTCTTGAAACAAGCTGAGTATCAAAGTTTGGCTTTTTCAGTAGTACATTAACTCAGCTCACTCAACAGGCAAATCAGAACCCGGAACATTTCTCCAGCTAGTTAATGTGGGCCGCGGGAAACGTCTGAACAGAAACAGTTAGAATTTGAAAACATTCTTCAACCCATACAAAATGCCTGAGAATGAATGAACTTGAAGAGGGAACGGGAGGGTAAGGGAGGGGAGGAGAAAGAGGAAGAGAAAGAGAGAGTTTGGGGCTAGGTTATAGCTAGGAGAGGATAAGGAATCATAAACAGACACATGTGTATACTAGACACCTATAAACTACAGAAAGGACGAGGGAAAGGGGGGTTCCCCTCCAGTGCACCAGTTAATTAAAAATTACTCTATAATTTTCCACTAAAGTTTCTAGGTCGGTGTAATCGGTTTTTGTTCGCTTAGTTGGTATTTATTTTAAAACATACAGCGACAGCAGCAACCCACCCTCCGCCGCCCCGCAGAGGCAGGCGGGTCGGGATTCCGCATCTGCCTCTGCGCCGCCCGCGCCCGCCCGTCGCCTCCCGCCTCACCCAGGCAACTCGAGCGCACTGTAATTACTTGGAACAAATGCATACTTGTGGCTGCCGGGAGAGCCCGGCAGAAATACGTAAACATCATCATCTCACTTTAAAAGGAAAGCAAGCTATATAAATCAGAAAAACTGTTACGAGAGTTTAAAAAAAAAAAAAAAAATCCCACCAGTCTTACTTGCAGGGAGCGCCTAGGTGAACACCAATCACGCAGTGGTGGAGACAGACACGGGAGCTGCCACAACTCGACAACTCTCTGAGGCTAAAAACCTTGTCCCGCGGTTATCCTCTGTTTATTTTTGAAGCATGCAAAGACTGCCGCTCAGAGACCGCTTTCCCGAGGATCAGACCGAGCGGCTGCGAGGTCCCGCGGCGAAGCCGAATCCCGACACGAATCCGAGTCCGAATCCGGGACGGCGAGAGTGTGCGGAGACTCGCGCTGCTCCCGGCTGCGGCTCCGTAGTGGCTCGGAGCTTGTAAATACAAGCTCCGTGGACAAAGTCCCAAATGACATCACCGGCAGCTGCTTATTGTTGAGTCTTTATTAACTGACTGTCAAAAAGAAAGGAGGGGGTGGGGAGCAAGAGTATCTTTTCTGCAGCAAAATCGGCATCTAGGGGTGGATTGCAGTTCCACGCCCTGAAATAATCCTGTTGATTCACATTTTCAAGAGCTTGGCTTGTTTGGGGTCCGAAAAAGCCAGAGCATTCCCTCCACGGATACACGCTGGGTAAACTGCGGATGTAGAGGAGAAGTTTGAGGGCGAGGGAAGACCTCTGAGGTTGTTTACCCACCTGTTTGGGACCAGCTTCATGGTTTGACGATTCATAAATATTCAAATATTGCTGGTGTCTTACTCACACGGGCTAGCAATTTTGACCATGATCTGCATACTTGGCTAACGTTTTTTCTAGATAAATTATCTTGGGTTGCAACTTTATTTCTTTCAGATACACTCTAATTAAAAGTTTCTCAAGGTAAGGTAGAAGCAAGGGACCCTGAAATCCTGAAGGAAAATGTTGTCTATATTTACAAATAGGTGAGTTTCTTTTTAGGAAGGATGCTGGAAGCTTTCCTCCAGTTCTTAAAATTTTAATAAACTACCCGCACCACCCACAACACTCAAAAACAAACATAAAAGAGTGATGAAGAACTTCTGTGAAGTGTCACTAACAGTCTCAAAGAACGCTACAAACCCTGCTCACTGTCAGTTGTCAGAAGTGGGCCCTCTCTCTTATTTTCCTGTCTGTCAGGCTATCTTCTTCTATCAGCCCATTTTCACAGTTTTTATAGCTGTCTCCCCACACGCCTGGTGCCCTGGGACAGGCATTCCACACATCTACCATACGTCCTGCCCTGAGGTTCCAACTCCCAGCCACTGTTTTCCTTCCTTCCTCCCGGCTGCTGTGAGGATGCTTACTATTTATATTTATTCGCTGCTTTTTATATACCGTCTTGTATTTTTAGTTTGTTTTTTAGCCATCTGTGTTCTGTCTCCCCAACTCAGTTTGGCCGGTCTTTAGAAGCAGCTATTGTGTTGCGTTATTTATTTGTTTATACCCAGATCTCTTGCCACAGTGGGTGGAAGCAGAAATGCAGGGGGAGGCGGTGCCGTGGGGGCAGGGGGTGCCGTGGGCGCAGGCAGGAAGCAGGTTAGAAGATCCCATAGAACACAGAGCAGGCATATGGGGAGATTAAGGGCCACCCTTCCTTGCCTTGGAAAAGAATGACCTCACACTCTACTGCTCACCCACAGCAGAGGCTTACTCCATGTCTGCAAATCACTTGCTCAGAGAGCAGCAGTTGATTATTGATTTGGCAGGAGATGGAGATCCCCCAATCCAACAATTTCAGGTGGGAATTCAAGACAGTGCAGATCTTGTCTGTTACTCAGGAGTCTGCAAGGAGCATAATGTTAACCAAAGTAAATTGAAAGTGTTAAACACTGTAGAAGTACAAACTCTTTGGTGCAGCAACCCCACTTTCCCACAGTGGCCCCGCAAATATGTTCAAAGAAAGGGCACTAGGATATAAGCATAAGAATGTTCTCTACAGCATTCCTCATCGCCATCCAATAAGGTTGAGACCACTTCCACATTCATCAGTAGAAGGAAACGTAAACTGAAGTAGCCGTGCGTATGCTCACAGGGCAGAAGTAGACAGTTGCTTGTTGAGTGGCTAAAGCAAGTTGTAGACTAGAATGTAGTACACGAAGAGAGAAATTATACAAATTAATGTTGGTAATCCTCAGGAAGAGGTGGGAGGAACTGTTTCTTTTGGTATAGTTTGATGTTTTTTAATAAATATGCTATTAAGACAATTTTTGTTATTAAAATCATTTTTAAAAGACACAATGGTATAGTTATAAAATACATCTCAAGGAGAAACTTAGCTATTCATTGACAGTATGTTTGACCTATAGTATGTATTCAGCAAGGAACTGTTGCTTGAATGACTGCTTGTGGAGCTCCTCCTGTGACTCAACAGATGTAGGTATAGAATTTGGTTAAAAGGAGCGGAAACCAGCTACGGGGTTTTATTCTGATTCAAAGACTTACCCTCTTCCATTACACTTAAGAACTAATTTGGAAACCTCTTAGGCTCTGTCCACTGCAGTAATAATTACAGTTAAGCATTCAGAACATAAAGGGCTGACCTTTCCTTGTGCAATTGCTGTTTGACAAATAGAGCTTTAAGGGAAGACAAGCACAAGCCGCTCTGGTTCAGTTCCCCGGGTGCTCAGAGGCACTGCAGGGAGAAGTCAAAGTCGGGAAACTTGCCGAGGTGCAGGTCTGACGGGCTCCCTGTCCTGGCTCGTCTACCTTGACCGCACTCCAGGGGGAGGCGAGCAAAGTCTGACACAAGGTGAGTTGTCCCAGCTTTGCCAGGGAGGGAGGGCTTAGGGCTTTTTCAGTGGTGCTGAGTGACTGCAAAAACCCAGGTCTGCAACCCTGCATACTGCCTACAGGGTCTCTGCAGTGGAAACTGGAGGGCATAAGCCATATATTAGATGCTATGTGTTTCTTTATGGAGGAAAAAAAGTGTTGAAGAATGACTGAAACTTTCCACCAAGGTAGGATGGGTTTTTTAAAGCAAGATTTCCATTCCTCTGGGGAAAGCACATTGGAGTCTTGTCCCACTCATAGTGAAAAGGTATCTCATGTCTGTGGTCATTCGACAAAGAGAAAAAAGCCTGCCTAGAGCTCCTGCATGTCTGAATATTTTTATGGCCCAACTATGATAAGAACCTGAGTCAGCATTCTGTTTAAATCACACATTTGGATCTCCTTGTGTGTTCTATGGTTCACACATTCCCAAGCAAGAATTAAATATAAGTGCTTAACTTAAAACTTTGTGTAAAAAAAAGGACACAGTTGAGGGTGGTGGCAGAAAGACTGTCCTCACCTATCTCTGTCATGTGGTCACTAAGGCAACTGCCAAAGTCGTCTGCACCTGGTGAGGTGTTCCCCTCTGTCTGTCCCTGAGACCTACCCTCACCAATGCAGGACTCCCAGCAGTGAGACCACAGGCAAATGCACATCTATTTACTTGTTCATTTTCTTTAAAAAAAAAAAAAAAAAGTCTCACACAGCATTCTTCACATTGAAGTATGTTCTGTTCTAAACAAGAAAAATTGCTAAAGTGAAAGATTATAATCAGAGCTGCATGTGTGAAAAACAACCAAGGGACCCATACAGCTGATTCCTGGTGAAGATCTTGTACTATGAGGGACCTACCCAGCCCATCAGCACAGGTGGATTTCGCCTCCAGAGTTTGATTCCCTTCTCTCTTTTCCCTCACTCCCATGAGGCCATTTCTTAAGCATTTCTATGTACCATTTGATTAAGGGCATCATCTAACTTACCCATAAAGTAACTCAGAGAATGACGTACTATTTTCATCACTCCCTTTTCACAACTGAGGGAATGGAAGCCCAAGGAGGTGTTATGAAGTATCCTGACTGTGATCACACAAATAGCCTGCAGTAGAACTAGCATTTCAACTCAGCTCTGCCTGACCCTGCAGTGTCCCAGGGAGTCCTAGATTCCTCCAGTGATTATAAGTATTGAAAAGAAAGTTGGTATACCAGTGTTGTAGTTGAGGATTTTGCAAGGGGAACAATATAATACAGGATACATATTTTATAAGATTATTTATAATAGTTACCCAAAGAATCACATACAAAAAGAGAGTGCAGGAAATCTGTTCACACACTAAAGACCAAGGAATCTAGCTGAGGGCTTGGTTCCAACAATAATGTCCTACATGAGTCCAGCTGAAGACCTAGAACCTATACCAGTGTCTCCCATGAGTCTAACTGGAGCCTAGAGCCCATAACAATATCTCATGCAGGCTTGTTTCACAGATCTGCACTGGGAAGGTCCAAAGGTCAGTGGTGGAATCGAGGAAGTCTATGCCAGCGGGATGAAGGATCTGTGCTAGCAGGCTGAGGGATCTGCACTGGAGCAAGGGAGCAATGCTCAAAGTAAGAACCAGAGCTCCCCTGAAAAGTACCACAGCGTTCTTCAGCAACAGTGAGGTCCTGAGGTCCCCAATGATGAGGAAAGCCAAGTTTTCATTAGGAAAGCCAACATGACAAGCTTCTCCAGGAGACTGAGCCGTGCACCATCTTTCCCTCCAGAGCCAGAAAGCAATGCTCAAAGTGAGGACCAGAGCTCTCCCAAAGTGAACTGTAGCCATTCTCAGTGACAACAAGGTCCCAAGCTCCTCTTCTGATGAGAACAGCCAAGTTCATCAAGAAAGCAAGCAAAACAAGGTCCTCTAGAAGAAGAGCCCAAGAAAACCAGCAGCTCCCTAACAGCTTCCCAAACAACTTCTACCAGCTCCCAACAGCCTCTAAACTTCTTTCTCCATAGTTCTACCTCTTATGCTACTGGCAGCAATCCTCAGGTGGGCCTCCCACACCCAGCACCATGCTGGTTCAGTTCAGCTCAGTTCAAGTTGACCACCAGTTGTCAATCCACCACAATCTTATGAATAGTAAAATCTCAGAAGAGGAAACATGTGGCTATCATTAAATTAGCTTAATTCTTATATACCAGTATAAAGCAGGGAACATTCAACAAAGTTCAGATTTCAACTGCAAACTGATGTGACTTCTGCTTCTTTAGGTAACCCAACCTCTATGTTTAGCTCTTCCAAAAGGAGATAACGCCATTGGTCTCAAAGACAGGTTCAAAGGACATTTGACTCAGACTCCTGGGGATTAGTCCTAGAGCACCCTGAGGGAGTAGATTCCCCATGTCCTTTAGAATGAACAAGATCCCCTTTTGGAGAGGAGAAAATATCAGAGAGCAGGCATTTAAGCACATTTGCCATCTGCTTCTCTTCACACCAAGAACCTGGAGTTATGAACAGCCCAATATGCATCTCTTCTCCTGGAGCTAATGGTTCTGCAAAGGCTTAGGAGGAAACCTGTGGCCAGTCAGCCTGCTCTGTAGGAGGTAACATGCTCAGAAATAGGAAGCAGAGGAGAATCCACAAAGAGCGCACAAGTACCTCAACATGCACCAAACAAATTAGCACAGCTTTGAAAGAGGGAGTCCCTTGGGACCTTGAGAATCTCCATGTTTAAAAATTGGCCCACATTGTTCACATGTAATGATCTTTAGACTGTACTTTAAGAAGCACTGGTTATGAAAAAAAGAGAGAGAAGTACATGATTTTCTTGTCTATAATCAAACATTGAATAAAAATCTTCGGGCTTTTTTCAAGTTTCCTAAGAAAAGGCATTATGATCAGTTGGAAAAATCCCTGGTATCTACTGCCTAACATAAATAATATCTGACACAAGTTTGGTGCACAAGTGTGACTTGGGACATTCAAAACACATGCCAGGTTGATAGTCCCAAACATAAAGATATTAATTGGTTTTAACTGCTGGAGTTGCTGTTGTAGTTCTCACAAGTAAATCAAATGAAAGCAAGACCCAACCACAGAGTAAGTGTAAGGAGTTCCACCAAAGTTCAGATTACTCAATAATGACTGCTTTGATGTAATTCATGATATGTCAAATTCTAAGCCCCTTTTCTCACTGGATGAGTGAGGGATGCTTGCTGGTACCCTCAATAGCTATATAGTCTGTCTTTGAGTTGCAAACACTTTCAGGACACTAAGAGCCTTTAGAGAGCAGGACTAAGGTGGCAGAGGTATGCTGGAAAGTAAGGTAGAAGGAAGGTTGTAAAATCGGACTTATTTTGAGTACCATCTGTGAAGTGCTATACGCTCATCTACTTTCTTTTCAACAAGCACAGGCTTTGGGTCCAGCCCAGGGAGGTACAGTGAGGGTTAATGTTCCTAAAACACTGAAGCCTCTCAATGAAAGGCCCTATGTAAGTATAAAGTATCACCGTGAAGTTGGAGGATTTCATTTCAGCCTTCTCTTTGTGTTGTTGACAGTGCATACTGTGAGTTTGACATTTTTAACTACTTTGCTTGCCCCAAATAAAAAGGGCTAGGAAAGAGGAGGTGGGAAAAGGCACAGGGGGGCATAATCTACCCCACTTTGATTTTACACAAATCAAATGCGCAGCATTAAAGTCGAGTTTGCCAGCTTGAGTCAACAATGCTACTTCAAGGATTTACGTAAATTCATTAAACTGCAAGTTGCATTCCTTTTAACTCGAGAACAGTGTCCACCTGAAACCAGAGCCTGAGGGAGGCTGTGAGGGATATGGCTGTGTGTAAACTGAGAAAGCAACTAATTTTGTGGCCCATGATTGTCTAAATAGAAAGACCCTTACTTCAATTTCCAACAGATACTGAGAGGCTATTAAAATCGGTGATAACACTAAGGAAAAGAAGAGGATGAGGACAGCCACTGACCTTTCCCTTGGAGAGACCTGACTTATTCTGTGATTAGCACCTTCAACAAAGCCTGTCCTGAATAGCACTGATGGTCACTTCCCTACAGTTTCTCAAACTCACTGGACTCTGGCACACAATAGCTCGTGCTCCCACCCCCTCGTCATAATCCCCACAGTCTCCTGAAATGGGAAGAGGAACTCAGAGCTGAGAACAGTCTAAGATACTCCAGGGAGGAGGCAGGGATGCTCAGTCTTTTCCTGGGGTCCCCAGGAGACAGGTTCCCCCTGTCTGCATTTGCCCCGGTGGCTTACAGAGTCCTGGCTCTCTGCAGGCCACTCAACCAGTCCCTGGGTTTCTCCTTTCATGCCAACAAAGGTTCTTAAGATAAAAAGACAAGAGTGGGAGTGGTAGTAGGAAAAGCAGGTCAGGGGTCTGTTGAGGATTGGGCTGGAGGAGGGGTAGGCCTTTT